TGTTTAAAGAGCCTGATTGTTTCTTAGTGAATTCCTGTTGTCTACTCTAGCTTTATAGCCTGGCAAGCAATTCTATGAATGTATTAATGGGTGCTGGTCATAAAATTAGAATAACAGGACAAAGTTGATTTATTTCAGTAGTTCCTTTCAAAAAGTGAAATTTGTGTATTAAATCGTTCATTACACACAGACTGATATACGTTTATTTCTTTATATGTTTGATGATTATAACTGACAACTAATGAAAATCTCCAATTCAGTATCTCAGAAAATTAGAATATCAATTAAGACCAATGCAGAAAAAAGAATATTTCGAAATGTTGGCCAACATGGATTACTGCAGCAATGCGGCGTGGCATAGAGTTGATCAGTCTGTGATACCGCTCACGTGTTATGAGAGCCCATGTTGCTCTGATAAAGACCTTCAGTTCTTCTGAATTGTTGGGTCTGGCGTACTGCATCTTCCTCTTCACAATACCCCATAGATTTTCTATGTTATTAAGGTCAGGTGAGTCCATCCATCCATTTTCTGAACCCGCTTGTCCACGTAGGGTCGCAGGGGGGCTGGTGCCTATCTCCAGTGGTCAATGGGCAATCAGGCGGGGTACACCCTGGACAGAGAGCCAGTTTATCGCAGGGCAACACAGAGGCACACAGGCCAAACAATCACGCACGCAACACACACACACACACGCACACACGCACACACGCACACACACACACACACACACACACACACACACACACACACACACACACACACACACACACACACACCTAAGGACAATTTTGGACAGACTAATCAACCTAACAGTCATGTTATTGGACTGTGGGAGGAAGCCGGAGTACCACGTATGCACAGGGAGAACATGCAAACTCCATGCAGAAAGATCCCGGGCCAGGAAGCGAACCCAGGACCTTCTCGCTGCAAGGCAACAGTTCTAACCGCCCGGTCAGGTGAGTTTTCTGGCAAATCAAGAACAGAGTGTAGCATACCAAAGGTCACATTTTCATCAAAATGAACAGAAATGAACTTTCAAGCACCCTTCTGTCAAGATCCCAAGCGATCCAGGGGGTCAGGAGGTCGAGATGGACACTGCCGATGGCGTGGGCCTCTGGTACCGGAGCCCGTAGACAGCTCAGAATATGACCCTCCTAGTCTGGGTAATCTTCAGGTGACGGCAGGAAACTGGAGTGTCTATTTAGCGTCTAAAGCCGTTCGGTGGCTCTTAAAAGAGCCGTTGTGTCAATAATCACTCGCAAGCATTGCAGAGAGGCTTTGACCTTGAGGTCAAAAGAGAGGTGGGTTTCAAATGCTTGCTCACCGGTTTGGCCGGACCAGGAGTCAGCTGGAAACTAACTAGATCAAGACATAATTCTGTTTTATCAACTCTCTTGTTGATAAATTAGGCTAATCAGAATTTGACATGTTTAAAAACGTTACCCAGAATACCTCAGAAAGTCACGCCTTCAATCAGATACTCA